CCGCCACCCGCGGCCCGCCCTCCACGGTCAGGCTCAGAAGCACGCAGGAGGTCTCCCCCGCCCCCCGCACGAGGGGCCTGTCTCAACGTGGCCTCCTGGGACCTCCCCAGCACCAGGCGGCAGGTCCCTGCTCGGGTTTTCCTTTGCTCGGGGCGCCCCCTGTCGGCCTGCTCCGGTCCTCCCCGGCCTCCCTCTGCACCGCCCGGGGTCCCCTCCTCTGGGAAGGCCTTTTGCCTCCCACAGCACCTCCGTCCCTGTCACCCCTGAGTGGAGGGAGCTGTGGGGCCTGCCGTGACCCCCGCTTCTGGCCCGGCTGAGCACCTCACCCCCTACTCCAACCTCACCTTGAGAAAACAGGACCCTGCCCGAGACGAAGGTCTCTTCATCCTGCCTCATACCCTCCCCCCTGGCAGCCAGTGCCCGTGCCCTTCACTCGGGGAGCCCACCTGTGCGACCTCTGGGGGGTGCACACTCCTCCCGCCAACTCCTGCTCACTCCCACCAAGCCTGTCCCAAGTGTCAGGGTCTTCCGTCCCAAACACTGTTGTTCTGTCTACGCTCCTGCTCCTCGGGGCCACCACACCTCTCAACCCAGGTGAGCAAACGTGGGGCCACAGCCATTACCACCCTGGCGGGACAGGCCCCTCCCACCCACGGGATGATGAGTCCCTCTCAGGAAGCTCAGCGCCAGAAACACACTTGCCCTCTGGGCCACTAGAATGCGACCCCCACCCCCTGGGGAGGGGTCCAGGCCACCCCACCACTGCCCTGGACCACGCCTGTCCATCACGGTCCCCATGCTCTTCTGCAGTCCACTCCCTCAGAGGCAGCAACACGCCTGCCTGCAGCCCACAGGGGTCAAGCCCCCGGCCTGCTCAAAACCTTCCACCACGCACAAGAAAAATAAGTCCTGAGTGTGACTCTGCCTCCGTCCTCTGCCCGCCAGCCACCCTGGCCTGCCCCCGAAAGAGATCTTTGTCTCAGTGCCTTTGCTGGTCTAGGGCAGGGTCCTATTTTCTCAAGATGAGGTGAAGCCTCTGTTTGAAGGCAGAGGGGAGGGAAAGTGCTCATCTGGGCCACAACTCTGCAGGTGCTGCCCCTCCTTCAAGGCTGGCACAACACAGACCGTTCTGGGAAAGCCACAATGCCCCCTGAGGCCAAATTACACGCCGTCCCCCCACACCTGCATGGGGTGGAGATAGGACCGGATTCCTAGGGGAGACCACAGGGGCCAAGGAGCAGCAGCCAGGGGCCCTCCCCTGGAGCCCGGCCCAGACTCCTCCGCACTGTGCTGGGAGAGGAGGAGGGGTCCAGGGATCCTGAGCTTCAGCCTAGGACGTTTCTGGCCCCTGGAGGGGGCTGTCTGTCTGCCCAGCAACTGGCTGGGACTGAGCGCTGACCTCTGCAGCTTAGATCTATCCTTTGGTCCAGGTCCAAGGTGACAGATGTGGGGTTTGGAGGTGCAGGGACCCCTAACCCTGGACTCCAAGGGCCCTGGGCGTCGTGTGCACCCACCACAGACCAGTGCACTGCAGAGCCCTGGGAACGCCCGAGGGTCTCATGCAGACTAGGACCCCCTCCCGCCGGGGCCCCCATACCCGCCATGCCGCGCGTTTAGCCGCTCCATGTACTGAGCCACCACGTCCACGGCCTCGGCCTCGGGCAGCTGCAGGTTGCCCGACACGTTGCAGCGCAGGTCGTTCCAGTCGGAGCGCAGCAGCTCGAAGTCCACGGCGCCCACGCTGAAGGTGCGCTG